ATTATTATTATTATTATTATTGTTGTTGTTGTTGTTGTTGTTGTTGTTGTTGTTGTTGTTATTGTTGTTGTTGTTGTTGTTTTAATTTTAATTTTATTTTATTATTATTACATAGGGCTTTTATTATATTTGAACAATAATATTATCAATTATATTATATTATATAATACCATACATAATATTACCAATTAATAGATTTTAATTAATTTCCATTTGACATTTAATTACTTACCAAATAAGCTTTACTACAAATAATAATATTGTTCTTCACTTCTTCCCATATATATATATATATATATATATATATATATATATATATATATATATATATATATATATATATATATATATATATATATTATTAATTGTATATAATGTCTATATATAAATAATGGATGATATTATGGAAATGCCCCTAAGTTTTGGGGTGAAAATTTGGCTAGGAGGATTTTACTTTTAATTATATATAGATATAGATAGATATAGATTGCTATTCCTTTTTCCTTCAAAATTTTTTTCTAATATTTTATTTGTTGGTTATTAATTTTTTTTTTTTTTTTTGTAGCGAAAGTTGTGTTATATTTCCAGTGCAATATTAATATATTTATTTCATTTTTTTTTTTTTGAAAGCCAACCAATAAATTATTGTATTAATGAATCAAATCTGCAATCGAGTCCGGAGGGATAGAATCCCAATACATAATTTGATCCTGAGAGAAAGCTAACGAAGCTAAAGTATGAGCATGCGAATTAACCTGCCTAGCAACATAATTTAACGAACAATAATTAAAAGACGCCATGAGCATTCTACATTGGTCCACAACGACCCCAACATAGGACATTAAACTCATCGAGTGATGACGTAAAGCATTCCGAAGCTGCATGCAATCTGTTAGAATATTCACTGTAGTTATATTTTCTTCCAGCAGCCAGGATAAGGCCTCATTACAAGATAGGGCCTCCACCATGAACGGCGACATACAATGCGATAGCTTTCCATTTCGAGCAGCTAAGAAGGCCCCATCCGGAGAACAAAGTACCATGGCAAAGGTAGCCTCTCCCGTTGCTTGTCTGAACCCTGTGTCTATGTAGCACCTTGGCCCATCATGGACGTGAACCGGAGCTGCTGCCACGGGTTGCGCAGCGCGGAGGTTGGCCTAGGTGGCTGCCGCCGCCCTCCTCACGCCAGCTGGTCGGGGGAGTGCACTGTCCCAAACCGTCGAGTTTCGGGCACGCCAAAGCTGATACAACAGCGCCACCATATCCCCAACTTGCTCCTCTGTCAATATTTCAAGTGCAGTTATTAGCCAAGCGGGAAACGAGGTTGCAACAATATTTGTGATAGGGAGTCCTGAAATATTCCATATAAGTCTAGAATAATCACAAGAAACTAGTGTATGCATAACATTCTCATGTGCCAACCCACACATTTGGCATGTAGGATCAATCTCCACCCTCTTTATAATAAAATTAGTTGTTGTTGGGAGGATATTACAAATTGCCCTCCAGAGGAAAGTTTTCCATTTTGGGGGAACTTTTATTTTCCATATAGGGATCCATTTATCAAACAAATTAATATTGATTTCCATTCCGTTTTCCTTCATAATTTTTTTTTTCTAATATTTCA